CAAGGATATCTTTAGAACCTTCGTCCTCACGAACTCAATAAATAGCAGCACTGTTAAAATCGAAAAGAAAAAAGCACATAAATTCATAATTACCAACGGATAATGAAAAATTGTTAATTAAATTTAGTGATAATCTGAATGTTTAATCAACTAAAGGCAAGAGAACAAAGGAAATTTCCATACTGTAAGATTAGTGCTGACTGCTACCATTCCATATGCTTTGCAACTGCATTAGGCCTGAAATTGTTATGCTCAATCATGAGAAAGAGAGAGGGGCATGCAGATATTCAAAACTTACATTTTATCTGACAAAATCAATGATTAACTACAAAGACATAATAAACCTTCACTCCATCATACCATCTTGAGGACTAAATTATTCAATTATAAAATTACTAAGCTATTCCAAATATGATTCATTCCCGCCCACTCCCAAGCTCATACACGTTTGTTTAAATTAACCCAAAGATTATTAAGCAAAAATCCTGAACTGAAACAACGTGTTCGTATACTTGAAGAAGTGCTAGCAGTGCACTAACCCAAGAGAAAATGAAATCCATTCCCTAAGGGTTCAAACGTTCGACATAGTTTCAGCTGTTGTAAAGGTCTTCGAAACTACCACAACTGCAAATATCAGAAACGGAATACTGCCACTCTTTATGGGCCATGTTAGTGGATTTTTACAGAACGCATCTAAATCCCTTAACCCAACTTCCAAGACTACAACCAAATATTTACACAGAGAATGCATCTAACATAGTCTCTAAATATGGGCTATGTTTCTTCAACCACCACAACTACAACCAAACACACAGAATACAGATTGCTTTCAAAAATAAAAAACAAAGGAAATTTGAAAGCATAAGCAAAAGCATGCCATGTCCAAAAATCCTATGTGCCGTATCAAATACAAAATGCTTCTCTACATGTCTTTAACAGATGAATGCATCCCTCCTTCAAGAACTATTCCACTGAAATAAACTCATGAACATAGACAATCTCAATGTTCCAATCAGGTAGGTCCTAAAATGAAGGAGCTAAAAGAAAGCTAATCCGCGATGTTTGACAGCAGTAGTGGGAAATCACTTCAAAAGCCTCAAGACATGGATTCATACCATTAGCATCTTACCGGCTCTTAATTCATTGATATAGAGAACTGGAAAATAATCACTTAAAAATCGATACGTAAGTACTTACAAATGCAGTTGCCTTCCCCTTGCTGTTTCGATAGCCTCTGGATCTGCAAAATGTAATCAAACTAGTGAACACTACCCAAAGTTTATTCCAAATCATTTTCACAAGGAAATTCACACTAAATAGTAAACAAGACTGCAAAATAGAGTTATAAATTGACAAAATGGAAAGAATCATCAAAACCTGTTTGT